CTTTATGGAAATCGAGATGTAACACAGTCCCCGACCAAAACGCCTCAATATCAAGCCCTTAAATAACGATACGTTTAACGTAATAACACCTGTAAATTAGGATTTCATATACCTCAATATACTTCATTATTATTATAAGCTCACTGGGGTTTCAGAATACCGTGGAGTGAAAGAGAGAGAGAGAGAGACAGAGACAGACAGAGACACAGAGAGAGAGACAGAGAGAGAGAGAGTACATTTTTCTTCTCTAACAATCCCCATGTGTCAGTGAATAAAATAACCTAGAATAACGTTCGCCAGACGCTAATCGAAACCGGTTTGTCACCGACTAAGTGACCTATAAAACTGACATAAGAGAGGACAAATTTCACAAAAAAATGTATTGTAGGTTCCCGATACAATCCCAAATTACGAAATTGACGAATGGCTGGAGGCCGGATTCCAGTTAGCTCTTTCACTTGAAAAAAAAATACTACTTTCCATTAACCCCACTCAATAGTACGGAAAGTAATAATGAGTGTATTAGTATTGGATACTAAGGTGGATAAAGGTGTCTCGGGGTAAGGGACACAACTCCATTATATGATATCTCTTTTCCAAATGCTTTAATCGAAAATGTTAATAAAATGAAGCAGCATAAAATATTTTTTTTCCAGATGATAAAGCTGAACCAGCTATCCGTAATACTTTTTTTACAGATATTTGTAAAATATAATTATCAATGTTGATATTAACCAAGCGCAAATTATGAAAAACGTCGATCTTTGTGTTCTTCAGATTTAAAATCCATCTGCGGATTATGATCGACACAAGACTCATTGCTATTACGATATGGCGAAAGTCCGATTTAATTTTGTTTTGCAGTCCATTTTATAGTCTACACTTCCAGACCAAATTATCATTCATACCATTTTACAGAGCTTGTTACAATTGACATGTTCTGTTTCGAGTGCGGGTGAATGCTGAATTGAAGAGAATATCATGTCAGCTTGTAGAATGTTTTGAAATCGTTTAAAAAGTTTATTGTTAATTTTGATTGTCAAATATATTGTTCCAGTCAATGCTTAGTAGGTTTCAATGTGCCAGTTTCATAATCCGTGAAAATAAAACGATTGTTATCAACAACGCGCCTATATGGGACGGATATAGATACGTCGTCACATTTAAATTGGCGTAAAAATAACTATTATATTTTTATATCTATATATGGAATTCTCTAAATTTGGCTATTTATGTTATAGAATATAATGGCATTTCTAAGAAAAATGTTTAGTTTTCTAGGTAAAGAGAGGTTAAATAAGGTAAACGATTAACCTGTGTTCTGTGACCTGGCCCCAACTCAAATATTGTTATAATGATAAACAAATAATAGGTTGATGTGCAATAAACATTTATTCAACTCAAAATGTAGGCCAATATAAGTTATCAATTTACTCTTCATTTTTACAGGTGACAATAATTGAAGGATAAATAATTATTTTGAGTCGCCATGGGGAAAAACACTCTCATACAAAAAACAGAAATATGATCATTTCACAGTTTTCAGTCGAAGAATGTACATGACATACAAACGAGCATATTTATATTGAAGTGAATTCCAAAAATCTAAATTGACATCAAAGAAAAGGTACCGGTGGAGGTAAGGGTGTGGGTAGATCTAGCTATTAGCCAGACAAATCAGGGTTCCCTAACCCACTATGATTCAAGGGAGGTAACTCCATTTGTATGGATTGCAGTCAGACCGCATTCAACTCTGTAGCTTTTACACTAAAATTAAGTTATACTTATTTTCTTAAAAAACCTGCTAGTCATTATTCGTAAAACACAAAGCCGGTAATCAATTCAGATTATTGAGAAGCTTTAGTTATAAGATGCATTAATAAAGGTATTAGTTTTCATTTGAAAATATGTATGTATACCAAGCCTGAAGAAAGAAAAGTTTTTGGGGCGTTTTTTTTTTTGTTTTTTTTTTTCAATCTATTGAGCTTTCTTCCTCTTTTAGAAACATCGTATGTAGCAGAAGATTTGTTTTTATTATGCTAATAGTTTGTATAGCAAATATAAACGTGGTTGAATAAGAAAGATATGAATTCTATAGTTATCATAACATGTAGTTCCTGGGCTACACCCAAGAATGTTCAGTGAATCGAACGTTTATATTAATATTTATCCCATTGAAATTCTTATGGTGAGCTCAAATTGGGATATTTAATACTAAGTTTCTCATCGAAACCGTCACACCCGACATGATCGTTAATTGTCATATTGATAATTTCACTGACCATATTGCCAACTGCGATCTATTGCCAAATGAATTGTTTCAAGTTATTTAAAATAACTATCTGGAATCACCACATTAGCGGTCACTTAAACCACCGGTTATATGCTATTATAATTTCTATAAGATAGAAAATAAACCAAAAAACAGCAGTCCAAACAGATGCGCATCAGTATATTAATTTCAAAACGATACAACAACCTTTAATCTGCAAATTAATCACAACATCTGGTTACCATCAGAAATCGAAGATATTATCTTTATTTAACAAAAGCTTTTATCTTGGTAATCAATTCAGAAATCAGTGATATTTCCTCGTTTATCAGATGATGAAAACTTGCAAACTATGACGATTTACAGGCTTATTGTTCCCATCCTTTTTCCCATGGAAGCCTTTCAAGCAAAATTATCTCCTTTGGCAATGATTGTGTTTAGTTAATAAATATGGTTTCCCTTACATGATTTCACCACATTTCCCCCCTGTTATCATTGAACATTACATGACAAAACATGAAATATATAATAATGAGAGTTCTACTCATGGACAATTAACATCTATTCATCTTCTACCCCCCACCCCCCTCCTCCCCCCTCCCCTCCCACGACATAATTAAAACTAATGAAAAGGGAATTAAAAGATGATAGATTATAGGGTTTTGATGATAATTAATAATCTTGAGATAATGACCATAAATAATATGAATACAGTCAACAAAAGGAGAGAAAATATAAATAGTGGTTCGGATTAACATTATCCGATCAAGTTTATTTTGACACATGCCCATATTCAGTAAAACGATCATCGATTTCTAGGAAATCGTGCGTATGCATTACCTTATATGGTAATGCTTGACGACCCGTGTACTCCACAGGCGTTCGTTATGATTTTGTAAACAAATGAAACGTAACTGTATCAACATTATAGTGTAATGGTTTTGTTTAGAGATTAGATAATAGTATACGGCCTCCTGTGTTGATTGTGCCTATATAAACTGACGTGTCTGATACCGGTCAGTATTCGAGTTCAAACCTCACAGAAGGCAGTTAAATTCCCAATAGTTTCAACACAAAACGTTCAACATGGATGATGACGTAGCCGCACTCGTAGTTGACAATGGGTCTGGTATGTGTAAAGCAGGTTTTGCCGGAGACGATGCTCCACGAGCTGTTTTCCCCTCCATTGTCGGAAGACCTAGACATCAGGTAAATTGAATTTCATACTGGGTTAGACTTTTTTTGTTTGCAATCTTTCTGGCCACTAAATTTCAGTTTTGACTGTTTTACATTTGAAATGGTTCATTTCTTCACTCTTTATGAATAGCATAATGATTTTGTGTACAGCAGTCAATTCTAGAAGTCGTCTACCCCCGTGGGTTTGACAATCGTGGGCTCTGGTATTTGTGATATTGCACCCATTAAATTTGAATTCGAAATATCAACTGCAATTTTCCACTGTAAGTAAGATTTGAAACCAGAGGCAATTTATAACCTTCGGTATTCTTTTTTGTTGATTTCTATTAATTATTGAAAAATATAAGTAAATTTCGCTTCTTCTGTCCAGTCACTTGGTTAAATATTTTCATGTGAATTGAAATATCAATACAAATACCGAATTGTCTTGAGGTGATAAAACTACTAACCGATGAGAAAATTAATTGAAAATCTGATTTTCGAATAATTTCAGTCTGAAATTCATTATATGGACCCGAATACATTCCGAGACAAAAGGCGTGCAATTGAATTTTATTTTGATATATGTGTGAAGTGGCAAAAGTACAACCTGAGCTCAATGTGGTCGGAGAGTAGAATAGGCATATCGGTTTTTGGGTGGAGTATATAATAAAATGGTTTCGTAGTAATTCAGTGGCAACTTTGTTCATTCTCATTTCTCTCCGAGGCAATGATGTGTAGCTTTCTTGTTTCTGTTAGATTGCACTGGTTTCAAAATTGATCTGTTGAAATAAAACCTTAATCGACATTTTTCGCTAAATAAACGATTTCGAAATATTTAAGAGAAAATTGTGTTGTCTTAATTTTTTAAATGAAAATGAGAAGGGACCAAACACCGAAACAAATGACTACATTTTGAAGATATAAATATATTGTTGGACAACATTCATAAATGAGGGTTGGAAAATATATTTATGGATTTTGCAATTCTCTTTATGTCAAATTTGTATTTTCCAGGGTGTTATGGTTGGTATGGGACAGAAAGACAGCTATGTAGGAGATGAAGCTCAATCTAAGAGAGGTATCCTCACCTTAAAATACCCAATTGAACATGGTATTGTTACCAACTGGGATGATATGGAGAAAATCTGGCATCACACTTTCTACAATGAACTTCGAGTTGCCCCAGAAGAACATCCCGTCCTCCTCACGGAGGCTCCACTCAATCCTAAAGCCAACAGAGAAAAGATGACCCAAATTATGTTTGAAACCTTCAATTCACCAGCTATGTATGTAGCTATTCAAGCTGTATTGTCCCTATATGCCTCTGGTCGTACCACTGGTATCGTACTTGATTCTGGAGATGGTGTGAGTCACACAGTACCAATCTACGAAGGTTATGCTCTTCCCCATGCCATCATCCGTTTGGATTTGGCTGGTCGAGATTTGACCGACTACTTGATGAAAATTTTGACAGAAAGAGGTTACTCCTTCACCACAACAGCTGAAAGAGAAATCGTCAGAGACATCAAAGAAAAATTATGTTATGTTGCTTTGGATTTCGAACAGGAAATGCAAACTGCTGCATCTTCATCATCCTTAGAGAAATCTTACGAATTACCTGATGGTCAAGTCATCACTATTGGTAACGAACGATTCCGATGTCCCGAAACTTTATTTCAACCATCATTCATTGGTATGGAATCTGCTGGTATCCATGAAACCACCTACAACTCCATCATGAAATGTGATGTTGATATCAGAAAAGACTTGTACGCCAACACTGTATTATCTGGAGGAACGACAATGTTTCCAGGTATTGCTGACAGAATGCAGAAAGAAATCACAGCCTTAGCCCCACCAACCATGAAAATTAAAATCATCGCTCCACCTGAGAGAAAATACTCTGTATGGATTGGTGGTTCTATCTTGGCTTCTCTCTCAACCTTCCAACAGATGTGGATCTCCAAACAGGAATATGATGAATCTGGCCCAGCAATCGTACACAGAAAATGCTTCTAAACAGAGATGCAAACGTTTGATTGCCCCATTAATTTATTCTGTGATTTTTAAAATTCATTTCTCACTCGAATTTTGGAAATGTGAAAAACTCCTAACCTTGTACCTCATCCATTGTTAATGTTGAATTAAAAATGCTAAATCATCATTTTGTATTCGAATAAATTTAACTTGAATTTGGCCAACGACCATTTCTTCTAAGAGGGGTGACATTGAAATTTCTGGGACCATGAGCACAATAACAAAAAATTGGGGTTTTGTGTCTACATTGCGACTGCTCATCCCAAATGCATCTTCATTGCTGATTGCAAAGAACTGAACCTATGAAACGAAACAACCCGTTACAAACTCCCACATCCCCTCTTTTACTGTAGAGATGTGTACAGCACAAAATGAAAATAATCTTGAACTGATCGAATAAAAACTGTCAGCGTAGGACAACTATGCTGGTACCGGTCACTTTTTTAAAATACACCTTTTATTTTTCTTGAGTCAATAGGAGCGGCAGGTAATTGAGTCTGACTGAATAGCCAACAGTGGTCATTCTGGTCAGTCATTTTATGGTGGAGTAAGTGCACCAGTCAGCTGCTCTTGCATTGTCGATCATATGAGTATTTTGATTATACGTAACGAAAAATAAGGTTATGGCTTTCAGGTCTGCGTTATGCGAAATGGTTCAACAAAATACTTCCTATCTGTAGACTTACTTAAGAACTGTTTTTAAATATCTTTCTGTTTATATTTAGCTGAGGATGAAACCAGAAACCCGACAACATAGCTTTTTAAATTTAATTACATTAGAATAGATAATTTGATACAATTGAGTTCGTTGAAAATCATAAAAAGGCTGCAGTAAAGCGTCATTGGTAACAAAATTATTGGTCTGATACTGGATTGTAATCTGTCCCGACTCAAAATTCAAAAGATTTGATTGGTTGATTATAAATACTTACTAATAGACATATATTATCCTAAATAGTATTCATATGAATCAAACAACCAAACGTAGGAAAAATGGATAAATATTTGATCAAAAAAGACAAATTGCTTGATGGTTCCGACACTACTACAACTGACAATGGTATCAAAACCACAGCGGGCAACACAACGGATGCAGTACCAAGATGCTCTGAAAAGACAGAAGTACCAGGTGACATTGGAAAAGAAGACGTTCCAAAGCAACCGAGAATAAAATTTCCAGCGAAGTCTGGTCGCCATTTTAGTAACAGCTGGTATGATCGATTTCCATGGCTGGAGTATTCAGTGTCAAGGGACGCCTCTTTTTGATTTCCATGTCGGGTGTTTCACAATACATCTGCGGGTGCATAAAAATTCATCACTGAAGGCTACACAGATTGGAAGCATGCTGTAGGTGATACTGGAAAGGGCCTCGAGAAGCATAACAATTGAGGTGTCAAAACAATTTCTCCAAGATAACGTTGCCAAGAAAGAAAATCAGGACTCCAATCTTGTTCTTCAAAAACTATACGAGCAGAAATTGGCTTTCCCTAAATTATATGCATTGGCTGCAAGCGTTGCCACATTCAGTTCTAGTACCGCTGTGTGTGAAAGCAGCTTTTCAACTCTTACTCGCGTTGACTCACCACAACGACGATCTATGACTCAGCTTCGCCAGCGCAATCTTGTTCTTCTTGCCTTCAACAGGAAGCGTACCCAGAAAATTAACTTGGACGTATTTGTTCAACGTTTTGCCATAAAACACACCCGACTACGTTTAAACTAAAACGACAATAAAAATGTAACGTATTATAACTTGTGTGTTTTAACAAAAATAATCTCGAATCTAAAATACTCCATGAAAGTCCGTTTCCCGACGTTTAATCGTCTGTTAAGGTGCTTTGCTAAATTGCCCCCTCGATTGCACGTTTGCCCCCAGGAATACTGGTCAGGCTACGGGCCTGTTGATGCCCATTCCTTTCAATTGTAAAGAGTAGAGCTGTGGAATTAATGCGTGACCAATGACCCCGGCCCAGATAGTCCTTCAGCGAAACCTTTCCAGGAAACATTTACCGCTCGACATATTGCCACTGTTGTGGGCATCTCTCGCAAATAGACTGGGCAAATAAACACCAAAAAGCTGGAAATGACAAAAGTTTCTGAAAGATGGATGCTGATGTTCATGGCAGATCGATTAGAAACACGTCAGATTCCTGACTTCCATGGCGATTTATTCTGTTTTGAATTTGCTTCTATCCTACTTTCACAAGTTTCAGTCAGCCCTCGTATCCCTGGTCTCGAATTATTATACCATAGTAATAATAACTTGGTGACCGAGGCTAAGTTAAGTAATAATACTGATTTTTCAAGATTTTTCCTATTCTCGTTAAGGGTTTAAAAGCTTTTCTCTTTTTTGAACTTATGTCTAATTTACTTTGACATAAACAACAAAATATACATTTACCAGTGTTTCTCTCATAAAATATATATCTAAAAACTTTCAGTTTCATGAATTATTAATACTTTCAAATTCCAGACTTTGTTCTTTTTACATAGCCTATTCCTTCGTAAAGGGAATATGTAATATTCAATATCATTCCATGGCTTGTTGTCAGCTTTGTCACAAGGAATGTATTATGATCTTATCACATATCGTGACATCATTAATATACGATCATCGTAATTGTGATTGGGACAATAAAACGAGGACATCTGCATTTAAGACACTAAATGTTAGAAAAGAGTAGATTTCAAAGAACAAAACACTATTTATCCTTCAAACATGGTCTCATTTAAAATAATTTCAAAATACATAAAAGGTAACCTATGTTTCCTAGAATTAAGAGCTTGAAAACAACTTGCAGCAAATCTACCTAGTAGCAAGTAATTTAACACAGAAATAGTATAGAAATTATAGTAAATCACGGACATGACATGTCTATTTCATTTCCTCTACTTTAGTTTCAATGAAAGAGGTTATTTTGGAACAAATTGTTTAGAAGTTAAAATCATCAGAAAGATGTCGGCTATTATTTCAAATGGTTCACGGCATACAGTCTTATAGTTCTCGATTTAACAGATGAAGATTCATTTTAGTTACTTTGAAAAAAATAGAGAAAAGCAAGGTTACAATTTGAGCTAGAATTTCTAGTTCCAATATAGTGGTATTTAAAACAATTACTGTTTAACACCAATTCATTTGTTAGAGTATGAATACTATCAACGATAATTTCTTTAATGCCGTTTACCCCCTACAATTTTGTAAAAAAAAAAAAACTGGACGTGTGAAATGGGGGAAATTTTGAACCTCCAAGTTAGCAGTGTGCACTTAAGGAAATATTGACATAGCTGTACCACCAAAGAAAATAGGAAAAACTCAGTAACTTCTAATACCACTAAATTAGGTCTTATTATTGAATTTTGGGGGTAAAAATTGATTAAAAGACAAGTCATCAGTATGGTTTGTTTTATCAGTTTTCAGCTAAAACACTTTTATATTTAATTATTAATCACAATATTTCATTCATTTATTCGTTGAAATAAATGCAGGGTGGGACAGGTCAATTGCTAATTGGTAAAATACAAAATAGCGTATCTTATTGTTCTAAAGATAAAGGACACCAGCCTAAGGAATTACCTTTATTTACTTTTTAAGTATTAAGTTTCATTTCATTTTCAATTTTCTGCGGATACGAACGTTTCAATGAGTATTATCATTTATGTAAGTTTATCGTTATTGGATATGCCCCTTGAAATGTTACCCCAGGTTGAAAAAGCAAGAAAACTTAAAAGAAAAAATATCTGCGCCAATTTCAATCAGTTCGTCTTATGTTGTATTATGTTATGTTTCCGAGGTTGATTATCCCCATTGAAATATATGGCTATATCTCATGACCTAATTTTTTTTAAAAAGTTGTCAATCTTTACATAATTATTTAAAGTTATATTCTGTATCGAATTATGGATTGGGCACTGATGACCATGTGATTTCTTTCATTCAGCCCAGTCTTTGCGACCTCTTTTCGTCAGGTTTATGCAGCCCTAGGACCATGAATATATATTATCATGGTCTTGCAATAATCCTTTGTTAAGTAATATTAATATGGTACATTCTATACGTTTCCCATATACAGCTCTATATTGATAAAATATCTCTATTTTTCTGACATAAGTAAGACGTCAATAACTGTTTCTACTAAACGGACATTTTGGAAAATTGTTTTTAGAATCATTTCTAGTCACTCAATCAATACCGTAATTAATGATCTATATTAATTATTAACGCCACTGCAGATAAGAATTTTTGTATATTTTACTTTTTTTAATTACTCGTGTTAAAATATGGAGATCATGATTTATGACTGAATATGAAACCGGAAAAAGGAGTAGACATTCAAGTCTATAAATTTGGGATAGCTCACTAGCTTTACCTTTTTTGCGGTGTAGGCGACACTGTTACCTTAATCAAAATGCATCTGAATATGCTCGCAACGTCATAAAAGAATCACTTGAAATCACTACCGGAAATGATACCAGTGCACTTCATGATAGTCGTTTTCAAAAGGAATACTGGTCAGGCTACGGGCCTGTACTCACATGAATATACTTATTAGTAGCCGCCATTACACAAAAATGATTTTCCCCCTAAATCTTTTTTAAAAATGAATATAATTTGTGTCTGTCGAGGTGATTTTAATTGTGACAATTAAAGAAAAGGAAAACAAATGATATGCTTATAAACAGAGTAAACAAGCATTAATTTCTATCGAATTTTCATGCACATGAATTCTCAGCTTGAGCATGGTATTTGTTAATTTTTTAGACAGTATTACTTAAGCATAATATACTGCAGCTTCTAATGTGTATCAATAGGCAAATAACACATCAAATATTTTCCTTGGAATCTGTATGTTACCGGTAACGTGAAACAAATCTTTTGTCTTGTTCTAATTAGATACTTTTCTAATCATACCAAGAACATAGAACATCTTCAAAGAGTATCACGGTATTGCGGTTTCTACTGATTGATGGATTATGTATTCTAATTTTTAATCATCAATAAGAATGGTAAAAATATCAAACGAATTGCCAGATTTGTTATTTAATCCAGCGAAACATTCATAAATTTAATATTACTCAAGCACGAGTGAAAGATTCTATTTATCAAACAACTATCAATAAATGCACATTTTCCTTGCACTTTTTCTATATATAGGGCCTTCATTATATGGATGCTCAACAGTATTTAGGTTCACCTTTTTGCAAAATGTACTTGCGCGTAACACATCTAAATAAACACGTTCACGTGATAACTAAATTGAAACTTGTAATCAAAGTTATGTTATCTGGAACAATTTCACGCTTTTTACCTTCAATTTGAAAATCACAGAATGTCATGTTGTTGTGTTAAAATGGTGCTAGAATACATGACCTAATTTGCATAGTTCTTAACCTGTGTTACCAGTTTATATCGTTTTTATGAACCTGTGTTGTGAACCCGAGAACAGAACTGTAGTGTGACGAATTAATTTCTTTAACTGCTATGAGTTCGACTTAAACCTTGTTTCTATATAGTATGGTTTGCGGTGTTTCTGTACAGAATGCCTCAAGGTATTTACATATATCCATTGGAGTGTGAGAAACGGAACGCCGCGCCGCAGTGAATACCTTCACAGCGAATTTCCGCGCGGTAACGCAATGCCGGGTGGCTCTGGGCCAATTAGAAGTCAGTTTCTTGTCGATGAATTTACTCCCCACAAAATATTACTTCATACCTTGAACTTGTTTTTGACCCTTATATGGACAGCTCACTGCCTATGTGCTCTGTCGCCAAGCAAAAAACAAGTTGAGACAGTCACCACAAGCAGTGTTCAGGCACTTGATGATTAACTTAAGAAGAACTTTAATTAATTCTCATTCACTGGGTGATATTGTTTTTAGTACCACTCTTCTACCACAGTGTGCAATGAGGGGAACTTTGCCAGGACAGTGGTATTAGCCTATACTATTTTTCCCAATTTAATGAATGTAGAAAGTAACTTCGGTCGTATTTGTGTGAGCGTCGTAGTAAATTTATTGTGTGTTATCCTTTAAAACCATCGTTATTCAAAACGGATGTTGGTTAATTGTACCTATTAATAATACCACCATTTGACCTTTCGAATAACTGCACATGAAATAAAACTCAAATCACCTTATATAATATTTGAGGATTGTAGTGCTATTTCTCAATACCTCAAGCCAACATGCACTTTAATGGAAATATGTTTTGGTTTTTGATTGTTTGTATGTTTGTTGATTGTTTACACTCGGTAAGTATATCTTCAATGATATTTTGTGAAAGAAAGTATGAGCGCTTATGGTAAATATATGAAAACGTATGCTACAATTGCGGAGATATTACTGAGAATGTAAAGAATTCTCATTTTCAGAACAGCACGTCAACTACATGTACATGTATACTGAACAGATAAAGAAACGTCATATTTTTATTTGGACAAAGTCGTGCACGATCAAAAATGTTATGTTTCTTTATAAATATGGCTTTTAGACTTTAAAAAAGCCAGTTTATGACATTCAACTGATAATATCGGTTGCGTTAGATTTAAGAGTTGTGAACATTGGGAACTGTCAAACGTCTAACCTCCCAACAACGCGAAATAGCCATCGGAAGATTAAATACCGTCCATACAGGGGTCCGGTGCTCACTCCCCATCATCGTCAGCAACGTCTTGAATGGAGCATCCACGTGTTCTCATAATATGAGATTCGCAGATGGCAGAGTACGAGAGTTGCGTAGAAAAGGTGAACGTTTTACATCGACCAGGTTCTCCGACCCCACGTTGTATCGCATTTTGCAAGACGCCGAAACTACACCTTTCATCATGACAACGCCCATCCACACACTGCCATAGCTACCAAAACCTTCCCCAAATGGTATAACATGTGGTTGTTTTCTGACAATTATCTATTGTTTTGTTGAAATTTGAATAAACAATTCAATATTTTCTGTGCTTTGTGGCGTTTCTTTTTCTGTTCAGTATCTGAGGAATCCTGGGACATTTATTGTTGAACATTGACTTTGTATTGTCAAGGTTTAAACTTTGATGAAAACTTTCCCAGACCATGGATGGCGAAACGCGATTCAACATTAGATCTGCTTTTAATCAGATTGATTTTCCGTGATTAAAGTGGATTAAATCTGTCAGAGTTTGGTGAAAAATATATTTAAAACCCACTAAATCCACTTAGTCTGACGTATTAAGAATTAATAATAAATACTCTAATTAGGCTTACCCTTTTTTCCAGACACAGGTAAAGAGAGAAAAAAAGATTTTGCAAAGAGGAAAACGAATTAGTACCTTTGAAGATGGTAAGTAAACGTTTGGCATAAGACTGTTAATGGTGATCAAATTAAAATGAAAAATCTTGACGTTTCCTTTCGTATTTTTACCCTGCGTGGGACTTCACTTCATCATTCAATAAATCTGACGAAATCGATATGCATCCCATGTTCTTGGTCTTTCTATATATTATCAATCAAATGCGCTGTTCAATAAAATGTTTTTTAACTACAAGCAAGGCTTCCTGGAGAAACATTGATTTGTTTCATCTGTCATCAGTCGTTTTGATACAATGGAGTCAATAATCAATATTCTAAAAAAGAATCTAGTCAGATCATGAATGGCACGTGTAGTAAACCGCAGAAAAAAAAACCGAGACATTTAGATCTGAATCTCAATTATATTGATAATGGAAGCCACAAAAAAGTCTAAAGCTAGATTCGAAACCATTACCAGATTTTTTTAATAAGTGATATATTTTGATTTTTTTCAGAAGGCATCAAGTGTTTGATGTGTGTATGGACGGCTCAAGAACCTTGTGTTTATGAGGTCGTCACTTGCAGCAGAGGGGTAAGTTTTGACACATTTCTGGTTGTTGAGGAATTAGACTGCTCCCCGATGTTCTTTAAGCCTTTATAATTTTCTTCTGTTAATCTCCGTTATTTATTATAGAACCTGGGATGAGATGAACACTGTTAAACTGTAATAGATAACATTTCTGCACCTCATCTGACTAAGACTGGGATGATTCTGATATTTCAGGCAACGACATAGTATATCGGTCATTGAAGTGTCGGAAAAGATAATTTTGTCATTTAATCGTTTTGAAAATGTTTTTTACATAGGGCCTATATGGGGCTTTGACAAGATCGAACACAAGTTAAAATTGCTCGTATTGTCATTTAAAGGGGCCGTCTGATTTTTTCGTTTATCGTAAATTTCTTTTGCTCAAATTTATGAAGAAAAAATTGTTTTTTTAAAGAATGTGTCCCTTAATTTTCTGAAAGTTTAAACTTGTATTCAGAAGTAAACAGCATATTTTATGCACTTTATACTTTTTATGTATAATGTACAATGTTTTTAATAAAACAAATTTTGCATATTGTACCATTTAAAATTCATACCAGGGATGGCTGAAATTCAGCATCGACTGACAAGGCCAATAGCTTTCGTGATTTGTAAACTGTTTTATTTACGAAAACCTTAACTAAACTAATCTGTGTGTTTATTCTGTAGGAGGTATGTGGTCAAGTTATCGTTGAAGGTAACAAAAGATACAATGGATGTCTACACCAATCGTTGTGTTCTTTAACCCATGGGAAATGTTGTCAAGACCCTCTGTGTAATTGGAAATTTTAAACTTGTCAGATTTCAATGGTTCATCACGCTATGCAAAATAAATATTCATTCCAATGTATGTATGAAAGGACTTAACAGATTTTGCTTTCTTACTTTGTATTAAATGTTTCTTATCACTCGAGACTTAAATTTTATTCTTTCTTTTCATTTGACCAGAATGGGTATTTGGTCACACTATTGTGTTGATGTTGTGGTCCTCACCCTCTCGGTCCTCTTCTGGATCCTCAGTAAATTGTGGAGGATAACTACAATAATCTCACAACCCCAGGTCCTTGCTCCAGAGTGTCAAGAAAGCATCTTCATCTGTAGTATTCCGAAACCATTCCCCACTACGCGTCGGCCTCTAAAAATTCTGTAGCTGGCCACTAACATGTCATTGTCTTGCCATAGGGTTTCCGTCATCATTTGGTCAGGTAAGTGTATGGTGCCGTCATCAATGCACTCTTTCAGTTCAGAATCACCAAATAGCTGTGGGTAGGATTGATGACCTACTCCACCATCCATATCCATATAATCTGCTTCCACATTGTTGGCAAAGGCATTCTCATCTATCACCTTCAGATCCTGTATCAGTCTTTTGTAATGACCATATTCAAGTTGGTGTAATCCACAGTCTAACCCACCACCTGGGGGCTGTTCTCCTTCTGCGAAGCAGGTTCCTGCTAGCTGTCAGCAGCTGGTGTTGATACTCCAGTTCCAGAGACAATAATGCAGCTGCTCTACATTGGACATCCATTTTGAAGCTTGGATGGGGCCTTTGTCAAGAACAGTCAGAATTTTGAGCTGATTCGTAGCTTTTGTGCAGTGGGTGAAAATTAATTTTCATCCGGGTGGAAATTCAAGTTTTTAATTCAAAATTAATATAGGTAATATAGGCAAAGCCTTTTCCCCAATCATTTTCATAATGCATAATTATGTATATAATTGTGAATAATGAAATACTGTTAAAGAAAAAAACAAGATTAAGGTTACGGTTTATATGTGTTATTTATAGTGAGCTTGAGTTGTGGACATGAATTAGCATTATTGTCTTTAAGGTGAACCTTTGTGAGAGTTGTTGTTCTTGACTGCGCCAATTAAACCAAAGATTGCCTATAGGTGAAAGGGTCAGGGTAAGATTAGTTGAAGGCAATAGGCAAGAATTATATCCTTCAAATTATCTGTTTAATAATAGAAGGATAGGAAAATCTGACCTCTTCTCCCCAGAAGAAAAAAACAAGAATATACTTATGTACCAGTATGGAGACCAACACCCAAAATTAATCCTTGCAGCAAAAACTGAATTGAAAATAGAAACAATATTGAAGCTATAAACTTTTTAAAAAAATGACAACAATTAGAGCCATTGTATGACTTTATTTAAACCTGTAAAAACAATTATCAAATTCCAGTATCCTCCTTGAAGTGTTATGAGGTTACTTTTTTATGACAATAGAACAAGAAACTATATTCAATCAAAAATAAACTTATAGTATAGCTAACAACTACCTCTCAAATAATACTAACCTTTTGTTATACCCTGAAAACTTTAATTTTGAGTATTGAGTATAATATGATAATACAGTTGTTATATAACATTAACACAATAGTATACAAGTTAATTTATCTCTAATCTGCCTTGTGGTGTAAATCTTTCTGAATCCAATCCCAGATGATTTTAGACATTTCCTGACTAGCATCTAACACAAAAGCATGTGAAAAGTTTTCATTACATAGGCGTATATCAGCATGTGGAAAATTCTTCTTCATTTCATAACAATAATCTTTTGGGCACCAATGATCATCAGCTCCATAGTAAAAACTTAATTTAGAAATATAATTTGAAATCAAGTCATGGTCTAACTCTGTTACTATTTCCATCTCTTGACGAGCTAAGTAGGTCACTTTGTTCACACACTGTGGATCAAATAAGTTCATGGAAGCATTCAAAGCACATTCAGGAACTTTGGAACCTTTAAAAAAACGTAAGATCAATCGGTACTGCATCTGAGGACTAAAGTAAGAAACAGCTTTAACGAAAAATACAGCAATCCAACGTAAATACTGAAGTAAAGGAGTTATAATCTGTCCTCGAGGAGATAACGCCATTCTCTCTATGGTTGGAAAAAGGAGAAAACACCGCATTATCTGCTGTTTAGGAAGATATTTTAACATTCGCAGTATCATATAACAACCAATAGAATGACCAATTAACACCAGTTTAACATCAGCAGGTATAACTTCCTGTATGAAAGCTAGCTTATGTCTAATTTGTCCATATAAAGTACATTCTTCTGGTGGCTGCTTGATAATTTCAGTAATTCCACTCCCCTCATTCCCAAGAGAAACATGCCCAGCATATGACATGCCCCAAACTGGAATCTTGCTGCCGGTCCTGTGATATAAACATCTCATGAATGATTCATAATACTCGATAATTCCTGGGTTGCCTGTAAACAAAAGTAATAACACAAAATAAAACTAGCCTATCATAGAGATATGGTGATGTTACAATTGAATATCACCACTTCCCTCCCAGAATTTGCCTGTGAAAAAGACCTAATAATTTCAGACTTAAAATATGCCTGTTATATTTGAAATGTATGTTACAATTTTTACAAAATGAATTTCGTACAAATGATTTCTGTTTTTTATGACCTCTAACATATTTTCATTAGGCCTACTATGTAGCCTTGTTGATAATCCCACTTTATTACCTGCGCGTACCAAGGCAAGAGTAGAGAATGTCACTTACCTGGAATTACAAAGAAGAGATATTTTTCAGTTATCTTCTGCGGAATAGACCCAAATTTTAACACATGTGTGATGCATCCGGTCACAGTATGAAATTCTGACCTCATACCGTCCATGTCTTTCTCCATTTTTTCTGCAAGGACACGGGAAACTGGACAGACGTACGTTACTGTATGCTGTACTGACAGGGGTTTTGTTTACAATATGAACCATGTGACTTTGAACTTCCGGTTAAAAGTTTATTTGGACCTATTCAGGTTATGCGGTCTGTAGCCTTTATAAATATTTATCTCCCTTAGGCTACATCTGAAAGACATTCTAGACCTAATTACTGTAGATCTATTGGAGAATTACTTCAACAGACTTCATTTTACGCATAAATTACAAATATTGGACCAAAATCAACAGACTCAATCAGACTAAGTGCTGTATTCGTGTTGTGTGATACTTATAAACTAAAATCTAATCAACAGATATCACGAACTTTGCCAATTGATTACCCCAGATTCGAACGCTGTGCGCATAGACCTGTGTAGCCTATTATGTAGTCATTTTAGCAATTCTTCTGAACACGAAATTGTTATAACTGTCAAAATACTTGCAGTTTTATCAGGGATCGACCTCTATGTCGTGTTTACCAAATGCAGTGCCGTTATGTTTCTGTTTTAATGATTCAATTATCAGGTACAAGTTTATGCTTATCCAATTTGTACAGCAAGGTTTGATAAAACTACAGATAAAGCCTAAGAAAGTCCAAAGTGAAAATTTCTGAAGTTTAATTTGTTTCTGCATACGTGTTCTTTCATTTATTCATTATTAAAATTCTAGGCCATGCTACTCCTTGGACTAACTTCCACTTTATTTATTTTAGCCTTATTGTTTCCTGTGGTATTTGATAGTCTGCATTCAGTAGGCTGCGTTATGCGAAATGGTTCAACAAAATACTAAGTATTCCTTTCTGTAGACCTACTTAAGAACTGTTTTTAAATATCTTTCTGTTTATACTTAGCTGAGGATGAAACCAGACATCATAGCTTTTCATAACATTTTTAAATTTAATTACATTAGAATAGATAATTTGATACAGTTGAGTTCGTTGAAAATCATAAAAAGAAGACGTTCCAAAGCAACCGAGAATAAAATTTCCAGCGAAGTCTGGTCGCCATTTTAGTAACAGCTGGTATGATCGATTTCCATGGCTGGAGTATTCAGTGTCAAGGGACGCCCCTTTTTGATTTCCATGTCGAGTGTTTCACAAATACATCTGCGGGTGCATAAAAATTCATCACTGAAGGCTACACAGATTGGAAGCATGCTGTAGGTGATACTGGAAAGGGCCTCTAGAAGCATAACAATTGAGGTGTCAAAACAATTTCTCCAAGATAACGTTGCCAAGACAGAAAATCAGGACTCCAATCTATACGAGCAGAAATTGGCTTTCCCTAAATTATATGCACTGGCGTTGCCACATTCGGTTCTAGTACCGCTGTGTGTGAAAGCAGCTTTTCAACTCTTACTCGCGTTGTCTCACCACAACGACGATCTATGACTCGGCTTCGCCAGCGCAACGTTTTGCCATAAATCATACCCGACTAGGTTTAAACTAAAACGGCAATAAAAATGTAACGTATTATAACTTGTGTGTTTTAACAAAAATAATCTCGAATCTAAAATACTCCATGAAAGTCCGTTTCCCGACGTTTAATCGTCTGTTAAGGTGCTTTGCTAAATTGCCCCCCTCGATTGCACGTTTGCACCCCAGGAATACTGGTCAGGCTACGGGCCTGTTGATGTCACTGTTGTGGGCATCTCTCACAAGTAGACTGGGCAAATAAACACCAAAAAGCTGGAAATGACAAAAGTTTCTGAAAGATGGATGCTGATGTTCATGGCAGGACGATTAGAAACACGTCAGATTCCTGACTTCCATGGCGATTTATTCTGTTTTGAATTTGCTTCTATCCTACTTTCACAAGTTTCAGTCAGCCCTCGTATCCCTGGTCTCGAATTATTATACCATAGTAATAATAACTTGGTGACCGAGGCTAAGTTAAGTAATAATATTGATTTTTCAAGATTTTTCCTATTCTCGTTAAGGGTTTAAAAGCTTTTCTCTTTTTTGAACTTATGTCTAATTTACTTTGACATAAACAACAAAATATACATTTACCAGTGTTTCTCTCATAAAATATATATCTAAAAACTTTCAGTTTCATGAATTATTAATACTTTCAAATTCCAGACTTTGTTCTTTTTACATAGCCTATTCCTTCGTAAAGGGAATATGTAATATTCAATATCATTCCATGGCTTGTTGTCAGCTTTGTCACAAGGAATGTATTATGATCTTATCACATATCGTGACATCATTAATATACGATCATCGTAATTGTGATTGGGACAATAAAACGAGGACATCTGCATTTAAGACACTAAATGTTAGAAAAGAGTAGATTTCAAAGAACAAAGCACTATTTATCCTTCAAACATGGTCTCATTTAAAATAATTTCAAAATACATAAAAGGTAACCTATGTTTCCTAGAATTAAGAGCTTGAAAACAACTTGCAGCAAATCTACCTAGTAGCAAGTAATTTAACACAGAAATAGTATAGAAATTATAGTAAATCACGGACATGACATGTCTATTTCATTTCCTCTATTTTAGTTTCAATGAAAGAGGTTATTTTGGAACAAATTGTTTAGAAGTTAAAATCATCAGAAAGATGTCGGCTATTATTTCAAATGGTACAGTCTTATAGTTCTCTATTTAACAGATGAAGATTCATTTTAGTTACTTTGAAAAAAATAGAGAAAAGCAAGGTTACAATTTGAGCTAGAATTTCTAGTTCCAATATAGTGGTATTTAAAACAATTACTGTTTAACACCAATTCATTTGTTAGAGTATGAATACTATCAACGATAATTTCTTTAATGCCGTTTACCCCCATTTGTGAAATGGGGGAAATTTTGAACCTCCAAGTTAGCAGTGTGCACTTAAGGAAATATTGACTTAGCTGTACCACCAAAGAAAATAGGAAAAACTCAGTAACTTCTAATACCACTAAATTAGGTCTTATTATTGAATTTTGGGGGTAAAAATTGATTAAAAGACAAGTCATCAGTATGGTTTGTTTTATCAGTTTTCAGCTAAAACACTTTTATATTTAATAATTAATCACAATATTTCATTCATTTATTCGTTGAAATAAATGCAGGGTGGGACAGGTCAATTGCTAATTGGTAAAATACAAAATAGCGTATCTTATTGTTCTAAAGATAAAGGACACCAGCCTAAGGAATTACCTTTATTTACTTTTTAAGTATTAAGTTTCATTTCATTTTCAATTTTCTGCGGATACGAACGTTTCAATGAGTATTATCATTTATGTAAGTTTATCGTTATTGGATATGCCCCTTGAAATGTTACCCCAGGTTGAAAAAGCAAGAAAACTTAAAAGAAAAAATATCTGCGCCAATTTCAATCAGTTCGTCTTATGTTGTATTATGTTATGTTTCCGAGGTTGATTATCCCCATTGAAATATATGGCTATATCTCATGACCTAATTTTTTTTAAAAAGTTGTCAATCTTTACATAATTATTTAAAGTTATATTCTGTATCGAATTATGGATTGGGCACTGATGACCATGTGATTCTAAAGAAACCAGGCCTGACACTGTATGTTTTCTTTCATTCAGCCCAGTCTTTGCGACCTCTTTTCGTCAGGTTTATGCAGCCCTAGGACCATGAATATATATTATCATGGTCTTGCAATAATCCTTTGTTAAGTAATATTAATATGGTACATTCTATACGTTTCCCATATACAGCTCTATATTGATAAAATATCTCTATTTTTCTGACATAAGTAAGACGTCAATAACTGTTTCTACTAAACGGCCTTTTAGAAAATTGTTTTTAGAATCATTTCTAGTCACTCAATCAATACCGTAATTAATGATCTATATTAATTATTAACGCCACTGCAGATAAGAATTTTTGTATATTTTACTTTTTTTAATTACTCGTGTTAAAATATGGAGATCATGATTTATGACTGAATATGAAACCGGAAAAAGGAGTAGACATTCAAGTCTATAAATTTGGGATAGCTCACTAGCTTTACCTTATTTGCGGTGTAGGCGACACTGTTACCTTAATCAAAATGCATCTGAATATGCTCGCAACGTCATAAAAGAATCACTTGAAATCACTACCGGAAATGATACCAGTGCACTTCATGATAGTCGTTTTCAAAAGCCCAACATATTGAACTTTTACGTTTCCTTTCCATGACGTGTCAGATCATTTCAAATTCCTGCAGAACGTGACTTAAAATATCAGTCATGTCCGTTACAAAGTTTTATAGAATGCTCCAATGGTTTATGGATTTTTTGGAAGCGATATTGAGAGAGCACCTGCTAAATATCACGATATTAACCACAGTTCGATAAATTAAATTTTCCAGATTCACTGGAGTGCATTATCTAGGTCGTTTAATAATTATTTAACGATTTTGGCAATTTGGTCAACCAAAATAATACAGAATCGTTCAGTTCCTGCAATTTCACTATAGCTAAGAGTTTCCAATCACGAAGGCCTTGCGATTAACATGAATATTATGAAAGAGTATATTTTGAGGTTTCTGGAAAATTTAGCTTCTGTCTGTGGTGAGAGTGGTGCCACGTGGGCCCTCCAGCCAATGGACTATAAGGCCATCGCGATGGGTAACCTCTCCACTTTGTTTTAGTGCAATTGAAAGAACCATAGACGTCTGATTGGACATTGGAATGGTGCAAATTGAAGCTATAACTCATATAAAAAAAACCCCTTTACAATCCCTTTAACTGCCATATAAGCAAATTTTACGCTTCACCTTATGGTTATCTTTCTAATTAAAGGTTATTTTCTCATTCCACCTGCAAGAGAGGATAATATCGGTCGTTATCATTAAGATAATCTTCTTTAACAAAATGTCACTGAGAAATATCAATCTGTTTTATTATTTATACTTTATTATGGCACCCCTTAAAATTAAATGTAAATCTGATGTTTTTAATTAGGCTACAGTTCATGAAATGGTTTTTGGTTATATTAACATTGTTTAAAACTATAATTTAGAATCCATCTTTAACAAGGAGTGCACCTTGATAATGTAGCAAATTTATATGAATTATGATAGTTGAAATGGTACAAAGTAAGCTATGATAAAGGAAATGGTTGGATCATGATCCGCATAGTATGAAAAGTTTTGATACCCAGTAATCTACTAAGCAATGTTGTTCTCTATTGGTATGTTTCTGGTTGTACTCTCCCGGTGTTGAACTTGCTGATCAGTCCCCTCAAGATAAAAAGAGGTAAAACCCGGATCCTGGTACATATATGTAAACTGGTCTGCAATTTCATCTAGAGCTTTTTGTTGGAGTAGCAAACACAACATGCGTCCAGCGTATGTACAAATGACACACGGTGTTAAATTGCCAGGCTCTAAAATCTTATGCAGGACTGAATCCCTTCGTACTGGGCATTAATGTGTGTCGCCGTTTCCAAAAAAAGCAAGTTTGAACATGTTCCGGGTTTGTACTGTCGAACACCTGCGAGACGGGTGTGGTAAGAAGATAGAACTGGAAGAAAAGAGAATACCTATATTGATCATAAAATCGATCCTGACATTTAAGAAACCTTTTCTTCTGCAGAATATGAAATAAGCACAGATAATAGAAATATTCTTCAAAGACGATTTTGTGTTTGTAAATATCAATACCATGTTAAGACCAAATCCCTTCAACCATATTATCACATTCACACATTGTTAACATTTTTCCAATATAAATAGTTCCAAACGGAGACGTGATTGGCTGATGATTTCCAATTTCAAAGACAAAGAAGAATATTCTAGAATTCTTAAAAGAAATCTTTAATAATTAAGAGCAGTATTCTAGTTATGTCATGATGTGTCACTATATATGCTTTAAACTAGCAGATGTTAACATTTTTAAGGCTTACTTGCCAATAATTGATGGGCACTTTCTTCATTAGCCAATAAGGTACTGCAAACTTGGGCGTTAGTAATTTCGGGTAAAAATGTTTGTTTTATGATCTGAGCCCAATGGTCGTAGTAAGAAGTGAAAAATAACCGCAATACCCACATAAAGATTAAAAGAATACATTGCAATCTCGCTAGAATCTGATAGCCAAGAGAGTTCGACGAAAACCATGGTCAACATAATTGTTGAAAGGTATTGTCAGTTTGTCAAAAAGGGCAACCTTCAGGTTCATCAAAAATTCTAAATACTGAGGTATCGTAGACTAATGAGTCTTCTGATCTCAAATTGCTTTAAGAAAGGCTGGGTGAGAAGGAATAAGAAAGACATAACACTTCAGACAAGTTGATCATTATTTACGAGTGTAAAATATCATAAAATATTATAAATTGTTTCTTTATTTACCCCACTCGTAAATTTATAGATTCTGTATTAACATCGGAACAAACCTTAAGACATGGAGATTGGAGATTATATGTTGTATCTGCCTTTGGTATTTTTGGATCGCAACATTTCCAGGAACTAATACTTAAAGTCAGTAAGTCATTGACACAGATAACGCATAGAATGGTTTTTGTTGTTCCCGATTATGACAACAGTTGTCGTTACTGATACATTGAAACAAACGAGCAAAGAATTAAAATAGAAATCGTTTGTAACATTAAACAGATTCGCCATCCGTTTACTTATTGTGATCTCAGAAATGGGAATGTATTTTACCAAAACCTATCAGTATAAGTATATTAGTATCACATATCCCTGTCAACATTTGAGTATCAAATCAATGTGTCCAAACTTTTCCGTTTGAAATTTTAAAAATGACGACTCGTCTTTTCTTGAGTTTCCATCAAATATAGAAAAACGAAAAACATACATAGAAATCGAAAGAGAAGTTTCATATTTAAGTTAAATTCGTAGGGATTAAACGCAGTACTAGTACTTTAGAAGACTTTTTACATGTATTCAAGACTCAAATCAACCTCTGAAAATGGCGAATATGGTCATTAAACTATACAAAATAAAGTTTATGTTTGAATTGTTTCCCGTGTGCATAAATATCCTTGCCCGCTGATACCACTTATTATTAATAAAACAGACTGTTATGAACTCTGTTATTATTTTTCACCATTATTCCCTTTTCAGCAATACCGCTCGAGGTAATTTAGGGCCAGTGTGGTTGATTTAAAAGCGAGTGTAATAGATATAATCACCCATAAATAAAATAACTATAAACGACCCTAACCGTTAATTTACGATAATGAACTGTCGGATTGAACTCGGATAGAAAATTTTAATCATAATTCTGATGATAATTGGTCTGGAAAAAGTCGATCTTCATCAAAAGGTAATCCCTGTAGTTTCTCTTATCATTTTTGGCATCCAAGATGAGCAGACGACTAGGAAATTTACAATAGAAGGAGAAATCATGGCCGAGCATTCGTCAGCAACATATCTGATTATAACCAAACGGGTGATTGAGACTTTCTTCGCCTTTGACTTCTCCAGGAAAAGATGGCCTTAGCCTACTCTTAATGAAACCTACAATGGTTCCCAGTGGTATATACGACCCAAACTACTTCTTTTCTCACAGAGCATGATTATTAGTTGACAAGCTATTTCACAAGTCGGTCGTTCTATCAATTGCTACTAACTCAATTATCAATGTTTTTTCTCTCGTTGTTTATTACTTTATGTGCATTCTGACTGTCCAATCTGTCACTGGTATCTGTCTTATAAATCAACGATAATCTCAAACTAATGTCAGCATCTAATCTTCATCGTATAATACTGAATAACATTAGTTTTTTTTTTATTATGATAAAGTGAATGATGGTTTTAATAGCACAGCAGTGAGTGGGGGAAGGGGCGGTCACGTATTGAATGATATGCAACATATCCTACAACAACTGAACACAGAATAATAATTCTATTTTGCAGCCTATAATACGACAGTCGAATTTTTAACACTGTAATGCTCCAGGTATTCTGCGACTTAAAATCACAGCAGATGGGGTACCAACATTTACTTGGTCGTTATATCGAACGGTACTAATCGCCTCTAAATAACGATAGACTGTTTCCGGAATATACAAAAATCAAGCATGTTTCCATTATCCATTTCCACCAAATTTCACGGTTGACAAAGCATATGCAGATAACATAACCATAAGTCCCTTTAAGAACATGTATTGTTGTATAAGATGTGATAGTACTTATTAGTAGTTATTATATTAGAAGGACTGTGAATAGTTATTAGTGAAATTAGTCTTTTAATTGGAAATAACGTGACCGTATTACCGTTGGATTAAACTAATCATCTATCATTTTGTCCAGGAACACTAATGGAGACACACAATACTCAATACATTATCATTAACATTAATATAGATTCTCCGAATAGCCTAAGGGGTATCATTGTCAAGGGTATCACATTTGATGTCTGGTAGTTAAATGATGGTTGGTTGGTAGATGGCAAGTTAACGTTCTCTTCCAGCGGTTGCTGATATCGAATACTAGGTAGTTGTTGGTAGTCGTAGTAGTTGGTAGTTGGATTAGTTCAAATTGGATGATGCTGTGTTGTTGGTTTGGTTGTTGATACCTCGTGAGATCTGGTCTGATCGAATGACATGGCGGTGAAACGCGACCCTGGGTGGTGTGGCGTGAGTTACTCGATCTTCTTCATTCTTCCAAACTCGTTCTGATCATGGCAATTGTTGGAAGTTACTTGTATTGTTGAGTGGGTTATATACCATGGTAATATCTGATGGTTAGGCTAGCGGCTGATATAATATGTTGATGATATTTGATAATACTGAATGTGTGATATCTGATAGCTATATATATAGAGTTTATCGGGTGATATTTGATGGTGATGTCTGATAGTTACACGTATAGGTGAGCGAGTGATATATAATGGTAGTATCTGATAGTTACATGTATAGGTGAGCGAGCGATATATAATGGTAATATCTGATAGTCACATGTATAGGTGAGCGAGTGATATATAATGGTAATATCTGATAGTTACATGTATAGGTGAGAGGGTGATATATAATGGTAATATCTAATAAGTAAGAGAGCGATATATAATGGTAATATCTGATAGTAACATGTAAAGGTGAGAGAGTGATATATAATGGTAATATCTGATAGTTACATGTAAAGGTGAGAGAGTGATATATAATGGTAATATCTGGTAGTAACATGTATAGGTGAGAGTGATATATAATGGTAATATCTGATAGTAACATGTATAGGTGAGAGAGTCATATTTAATGGTAATATCTGATAGTAACTTGTATAGATGAGAGAGTGATATAAAATGGTAATATATGATAGTAACATGTATAGGTGAGAGTGATATATAATGGTAATATCTGATAGTAACATGTGTAGGAGAGCGAGTGATATATAATGGTAATATCTAATAAGTGAGCGAGTGATATATAATGGTAATATCTGATAGTAACATGTATAGGTGAGAGTGATATATAATGGTAATATCTGATAGTAACATGTATAGGTGAGAGAGTGATATATAATGTTAATATCTGATAGTAACATGTGTAGGAGAGCGAGTGATATATAATGGTAATATCTAATAAGTGAGCGAGTGATATATAATGGTAATATCTGATAGTAACATGTATAGGTCAGAGAGTGATATATAATGGTAATATCTGATAGTAACATGCATAGGTGAGAGAGTGATATATAATGGTAATATCTGATAGTAACATGTATAGGTGAGATTGATATATGATAGTAATATCTGATAGTTACATGTAGATGATTGTGGAATTTATCATGGTGACACCTGATAGTATCACGTATGGGTGATATGTGCTAGTGAGATGTGGATTTGAACATATGGTGAAAGGATATCGTACTGGCCTAATACTCAACCAGAAGCTAATAAAAAGGGTAATAGGTAGGTAGGAAGTGATATCTGGATATATTTTAGGACTGAATTCTACTCAGTTTAATCAAGAATTAGTGCTAATAGAAAGGTCAGACATTGTTTATATTGATTAATATTAATTGTGCCGTTCACCAGAAATACTTGTAGGCTTCATCATGTTACTTATTTGGGAATTCTATTCCACTGACTGTGTTGACAACTCACTAACCCAACCTTGATTACTAAGTGGATATCAACTTCCGACAAGTAACTGTCCATGCGTTTATTATAGAATGGTAAATATGTAGGGTGGGCCTTTGCTTCTCATAATTAATCACTTTTTTCTTCGTATTTCACTCTTTCCTTAAACTTCCCCACAAGATGAGAAAATAGAGAGTCAGACTAGAAAATTCTATTTAACTCGACCACTGAAATTTTAGTTTTAGGTCTGGCTCTCGTACTGACAAATTTCTCTTTAATATCCTTCTTCACTTTTACCTGAGGTAATCTTCAACCTGGGAAACACTTGTACCGACCTGATCACAAATAGGAAAACGAGCAATAGCAGGGCGGTGTGAAGTATAAAAGCCATATACCACAATCATAATGTATTTAATCAATATGTTCTATTGTATTGGTTAACTTGTCACAAAGAGTTGAAAATCACTCAGTATATTTCTAGTCAGTTATATAGAGGTGTGTATTTCTTCTTCTACCTACAATTCAATCAAGGTAAGGTGTTTTTAATTTGATAACTTCATTTCAGACTGTTAGATCTGACACCTTTGTAACTGGTGCGATCTGTCAGCTGAATAAGCTCATTGCGAGCGTGGAGGTGAAAACTGAAAAACGTTATGGGATGAAGAGGGTTGAAACCAGAATAGTTTCAATTTTGAGGAAGGTTTTGCTCCATTAATGCAGTAAGTTGAAATTCGATATCACTGCTGGTGGATATCAGGATTGGCGAAAGTCTCGGGTTAATTGTTAATAAAAGATAGATATACTTTGTTAATGGGTTCATGGTGAGTGTTTCAACCATCCAATTACCAAAGTTGATCATCCTCTTTATTTATGATGCTGGACGGGGATATCAAATTATGGACGTCGATCTGTAAATCATTCCGTGTATCCACTAATGTCAATTTTTCAAATCCTTTCAACGTTTGTGTTTACAAGTAGATTTGTTAGAATTCAGATACAGTGTATTTCGACTTACAATCTTTGGTTATAGAGTATAGACTTTTATCTATTTTCTGCTATGGAAAGTGATATTGGTCGTATGTTAACGGTAAAATTATCCATACATGTTTTTGTCAATAACATGGTGTGTTTATTCCAGGCATGAATACTGCCTATTATTATGTTCAGTCCTTATCAAACTGGTTTTATAACGTTATAGGTAGGCTATTGTTGACGGTTTAAAGTTACAGAGCTTACAATTGTAAAATTTCTGGGTTCGATTCAAGCATTGATCAAGATGCTTCTTTCTTTTTTTTATTAGTATTATTTCCCTTGGCATCAAGAAATCCGTCATTGAACTAGTGTCAAAGCCAAAAAGTGCAAAGCAGGTAGCCTTAAGCAATCTAGAAAAGGTGGCACTCCTGTCTTATCAAAATATTACCGTCTTAATGAGCGAAAGATTTCCCATGCATGTTGATTATGAGAAGCAGTAATGAAATCAAAGTGGGGTCAAGTTATGTAATGCGCCATAATAATTATATCATTACTAATAATGAATATATAAACTTTCCTAATTTAATTATCATGTTATGCATAAGTGATAATACACAGTTTGATGTGGTCTAAAATAGCCTGTATCTAACTCTATGTTCCTAATTACAAAATCATAAGTATCCAATATCAAGATTGTTTTCTCTTTAATACAGTCGTATTGAATTGCACGAATTCATTCAAAGATCATTAGTGTGGCGTGTTTTACTCCAATCTTTGAAAAAATAACATTGTTATTTGTCATTAGATAGTATCATTCTAATCAATATACAATTATAAAACCATTCAACATTACCACTTCATGGCAAATTGATAAAACAGACATTTCTAAAATAGCCTAGAAAATCATTAAATATGCAACCCCTACAAAGTCCTTTAACGTATATTAAGACATAATGATAAGAAAATGAAAGATTAATTTACTAGACATGCTACTATTATGATATAACTTCCTTCTTGGATATACTTTCCGGTTTTGACAATTCTATATAATTTAAGGCATTGTAAAATTGAGTATGATTGTCATCATTTGCACAAATCACTATGTTTAATGCCAGAATGAAATATATTATGTAATTGATAAACTGCAGTGTGATCGTATTTGCTTCACATGCATAATATGATTGTGTTACATGTATCGCATATGATATTCATGTGATTATATAGAACGTTTTTTCAAAAACGTGTAATATTACAGAAATTTAAAATATCGCGATATCTTCCGTTGTAATCGGACTTTACTTTACTAATAAGCTTCCATTCTGACCACAAAACAGTCAAGAACAGTGCTAGCGTTAAAATTTTTATGTTGACTGTGATCGTGTTTGAAATGCCATACCACTTGATGTATAATCTAACATAAAACGTTTTACTGTTGTAAATTGTCAATATAATAGAAAACATGGCCAACATTCGAGATTCATATAAAATTTATGCATCAGGAAAGTTTTGACAAAAGAATTCATTGTTCTAAAAGGTATTTTTTTTTCATATATTGAACAATTCTAACGTTATGACGATCGTAAATTTTTAATCATTAAAGCAACTCAACACTGTCAATTTATTTCATTTCGCAATGTAAACTTTCAACACTCAACTCTATTTGCTGTATTAATAATGCGACATTATAGGTATATAAATGGTAAGTAAAGAAATAGTTCAATGGGAACCAATATATGTATTCAGACCAAAATAGATTGTGGTTTATACGTTATACGTAGTTCGTCGCCAACATTATACAGTATTTCACCAAAATATAAAACTTTCGTTTCTCATTTAAGTATAATTTATACTTAATGCGAATGACAGAAACTGGTGGCAACTACACTTTGAAAGCACAGTTGCAATTAGTCGATCATGTCCTACTTTCCAGAAAAATCTTTTGATCCAATCTGAATAATATAATAATGCGCACAAAATTTATGTACACAGGTTGGCATAGTTATTTATGTTGAATCGAAAATTTCTGATCTCAGAAAACCCAAGCATTTATCTTTGAAAAAAATGTGTTTGTCTCCTGTTATTGTTGTCATGGAAATCTAAATGTTTCTAAAAAAAAATCGAATACACTATAATCAAGTATATATGTTTACATATTATTTTACAGCAGTGCTTCCTTTAGGCCTAATTTTCTCCCAAAACTATGTCCTGATATCACATCCATTTTGCAGTGTTAAAAAATCACATTATAGTAAAGTTGCACCACAGGATATGAAATAAGGAACATAAATGCAAGCGATTGTAGGCACTTTAAAAGTAAAATTTCCATGAAAGAAATGACTTTTTATAGAATTTATACTTATGTTTGAGTTTCAAAGTAATCAAAAGAAAAGTTAAAGTTTACCGTTTTATTCTTTCAAATCATTAAAGTAAATATTTCATATTTTCTCTCATAACTCGCAAATGTCGTCTTTGTTTTTATATTTTGTTTTGTTTCTGAAAAAACTCCTCTTTGTTAGTGTAACTGTTCGACCTTTCTGGAAGCTTTACTTGTCATGAATTTTTTAATTTAATAATACTTGGTGCTTGAATAATTCATTCATCTTAAACCATGTGTGATGGAATGTGCCTACTTAGCGCATCGTAGAGAGTATTATTTTAAAATATAATTCAATAGGAGTATTTAATCTTAAAACATGTGAATCAACAATTGACCTTTTTGTTACTGTTCTGTTAATAAGGATTATCATCATCAACCGATATCAATATCAATATCATCTTCCATCCTCGTCATACAATATCATCTTCCACCCTCGTCATACAATATCATCTTCCATCCTCGTCATACAATATCATCTTCCATCCTCGTCATACAATATCATCTTCCATCCTCGTCATACAATATCATCTTCCATCCTCGTCATACAATATCATCTTCCACCCTCGTCATACAATATCATCTTCCATCCTCGTCATACAATATCATCTTCCATCCTCGTCATACAATATCATCTTCCATCCTCGTCATACAATATCATCTTCCATCCTCGTCATACAATATCATCTTCCACCCTCGTCATACAATATCATCTTCCATCCTTGTCATACAATATCATCTTCCACCCTCGTCATACAATATCATCTTCCATCCTCGTCATTTCCATCCTCGTCATACAATATCATCTTCCACCCTCGTCATACAATATCATCTTCCACCCTCGTCATACAATTTCATCTTCCATCCTCGTCATTTCCATCCTCGTCATACAATATCATCTTCTAATATCATCTTCCATCGTCGTCATGACCTGAATCATAATTATAATATGAATATTCCAGACAAAGAGCATTATACTACATTATATATTACCTTATTTCATCACAACAATGTCATTGTATTTTAAAGAAAAAGTTTCTGCCTTGTGCCTACTTGACAGTTTGTTTGAACAAGATTCTACCTACTTGAGTTTATATTGTCTTTAGATTGAAAATGTCAACACATTGTTTAGCATACTTTAACTTTCAGATTGAACTTAGTAAAGAATATAGGATATTGCACAGAGTTAATCAACCCAAAGTTAGGTTTCTGCAAACATAACAGTCTGTAGTTATAATACATGTATAATAGTATCCAAGGTGGACGAGATTGGTATGAAATATGTTCCGTCCGACCAGCCTGTGGAACTGTGCCTGATAAAAATTCTATACTTATTTGCTAGTAATATGGAATAACACGCGGCTCTGTTACTGTGAAAGAGGTGCTAGATGTTCTGTATCACTGAACCAATTCTATCTTCACGAGCTCCGTTAAATACCATAACATCTATTATTATAAGCTCATTTCTTTCATCACGGAAGTT